GAAGTGAGATATCCTTGCTCTCAGTGTGAGTATGCTGCAACTAAAGCAAGTTCTCTGAAGAGACATTTTGAAAATAAACATGAAGGAGTAAGATATCCCTGTTTTCAATGTGAATATAGTGCAACTGACGTAAGTAATCTAAAGAAACATGTTGAAATTAAACATGAAGGAGAGAGATATCCTTGTTCTCAATGCGAACATGCCGCAACTTCAGCAAGGGATCTGAAGAGACATGTTAATAGTAAACATGAAGGATTGAGGTATCCCTGCTCTCAATGTGAATATAGTGCAACTGACGAAAGTAATCTGAAGAGACATGTTGAAAGTAAACACAATGGAGTGAGGTATCCATGCCCAAAATGTGAGTTCGCTGCAACTAGAGCAGATGCGCTGAAGATTCATGTTGAGAGTAAACATGAAGGGTGGAGATATTATTGCCCACAATGTGAGTTTGTCGCAACTGCAGCAATTAATCTGAAGAGACATGTTAAAAGTAAACATTAAGGAGCGAGATATCCTTGCCCTGAATGTAAATATGCTGCAACTCTGAAAAGAGGTCTGAAAAAAAAAATAAAAAAAATAAACATAAATGAGTTCAGAAATCTCTGTTCTCACTGTGATCATGCTGCAAACGAATTTCACACAAATTTACTATGACTGAGGGCTATCAAACATTTAATTTTTTGGTTTTGAACTTGTCACATAAATAAAATGTTATAACCCTAATGTCACAATTGTAAGATATTTTTAATTTTTAATCGTTTGAGATTTTTTTATTCATTTTTGAAAAAAATATTTGTGTATTATCTATTTTGGCTCTAACCTGGTATAAACAAAATTATTTTATGCCCAAAACTGAATTTGATGAACCAAAAATGTATTGATTTCAATAGCAGGAAATTAAAATAGGAATTGGTGTAGTTTATTTGATATGCTTAATATTTCTAATGATGAAAAAAGGTGTAAGTGCTGAAATATAAGAGTATTAATAATATATAAATAAAGAATGATATGAATCATAAGAAAGACAAAAACCAAAAGTGCAGCCTTATTTATCGTTACAAATGAAGTTTGTTTGTCAACAATTAATAATCTGTATTCTTCAATAATACCTTAAGATAGGGTCCTTGGAGACATCAAAACATAAACTATAAACATTAATTAAATTATCTGAATAGAGCAATATGTATTCAGTTTAATAGAAGGAAATGTTTTACCAAATGTTTATTGTTTTTCAGATAGAATAACAGAGATTTTGAAGAAAGAAGTAGATGTCAAGGAATCTGAGATAACCTCTACTATTGAGGATACATGTTTTGTTAAAATACCTGAAGATGATATAAAGCAGGAAAATACAGAAATACAAGGTAAACTAAGAATTCTTCATCTTGTAAATTTAAGTTTAATATTTAAAAGTTCAAATGAATTACGGAATTGAGTCGTAACTGGTTTATATTTAAATTTTACATGGTTTAGAGTGCCACCAGCATTGAAACACAGGGCCGAGGCCCGAGATTATAAAGAAAGAATTAAGTAGATGTGAAGGTCTCTGAGATAACCTCTACTGAAATGATCACATATGCTTTTTGAATATACCTCAAGATAATAAAAAGCTGGAAAATACAGAAATGAAAGGTAATCTTGATAAATTTATATTTTCTTTAAGAATAGAAGCGAATTGTGTTTGTAGAGGGGGGGGGAAGGTTGTGAGGTATTTATAATCATACTAGGCTTTTAGGGCGCTTCGCGCCCATCTTCTTTTTAAATTGTGAACTGCATGTTCTTTTTGTTTACATTTAAAAACAAAGAAGAAAATAATGTTGCGGATTTTTTAAAAAAATTCGCGGATTTTCAAGAATTTTAATTTTTTTACAAAATTAAAAAATTTTAAAACACATTTTTTTAAATTTGTATCATTCATAAACCTTCCCTGTGGTCACGTGATGTACCACAAAAAATTTGGGCCCGATCGGTTCAGCCGTTTTGACGTTTATTGGATACAAACAGACAGACAAGCCAAATTTATATATAGATACTAGAAATTCAAGGCGCTTCGCGCCCTTCTCTCTAGGCTTTAAGGGCGCTTCGCACCCATCTTCTATTTAAATTGTGAACATGTTCTTTTTGTTTACATTTTAAAACAAAGAAGAACAAATTTTTGCGGATTTTTAAAAAAAATTCGCGGATTTTCAAGAATTTATTTTTTTACAAAATTGAAAACCTTTAAAACACATTTTTTAAAAAATTTTTATCATTCATAAACCTTCCCTGTGGTCACGTGATGTCCCACAAAAAAATGTGGGCCCGATCAGTTCAGCTGTTTTGACGTTTATTGGATACAAACAAACAGACAAGCCAAATTTATATATAGATGGAACTGATGAAAAATTAAAAGCTGGACAATACAGATATACTTGGTTGACAGTAGATTATGAAAAAAATATAACAGAAGCGCAACTCAAGGCCTGAGTTTTTTTTAATCATGAAAAGGAAGTACAGTAATAGGAGATTTGGATAATGTAATACGAAAATTTGGTAAAGACAATAAGCATTCTCTTGAAGAGTTAACCTTTTTACAATGTAAAAATTGGTGGATATTTGTTTGAACTACTACTATTTGATACTATTGTGCATTTAGACTACTGACATGACGTCATAACTTGTAGTTAAATTAACACAATGTTTGCTCTTTTGAACTATTTTCTTTGAACATCAGCAGTTTTATAATTTGAG